GCGTCAATCACTGTCGCCCTTTGCGTTCCTTAGCTCGCGCTGCGACTAAGAGAGAGTATCTTCGATCTCGCCACGTCTTTTGCTGTATTTCGTATCCGGCGTATACGAGGCGGGCGGTATGTTAAGAATTAAAGCGTTAATTCGTGCGGTCGTCGAGATCGCTCGAGAAACTTCTTCGCTCAGAATCTTTGTTGATTCGACTTTCGAGCAATGTCGACGTCGAGAGCGCGTGTTTGTGTGCCGATGACGACGGGAGTCTTTCGACACAGAAAAAAGGCCCTCGTCGTACTTGGTGTGTTACCCCCTGATTCGTCGCTCGTTGCTGGGCCGATGTTATCGACGAATCGCGTTATCGCTTCCAAAATCAAAGCCGCGAGCCGTTCGAGTTCGCGCGACGAAAGTCAGTACGAATCTGGAGAGCGACGGGTCGAGAGGGCTCCGTCGAAGCGTCTAAGCGAATCCGGCGCAAAAATAAATCGTCTTAATTGTCGTTAACGGGGGAACCAGATCGAAGGCTCCCGCCGCCGGTAACAGAAGTAATAAATGACTTCTGATGAGTAACTGTGGAATTTACAGGAAAAAGGCAGTAATGTGAACGAACAAAAACATTTTCATCTGAAATTATTCTTGTTTTCGTGCATGATTTCAACGACGATAATACTTCAGATACAGTACGAGGACAAAGTAACTACGTTTTGACTTTTCTGCGATCTTCTCCAAAACAAAGCAAAAACGAGCCTATCTTTACAGGAGTTTTTTTCTTAGTTTATCGTTCCTCAATACGCTCCCAAAGTTTTGACATTCCAATTCCAAACACTCTGCATATTGCCGAAAAATTACAATTTTTTCTCTGCAGTTGTCATCTTTATTGATAATCAGTGAAATCAAACTCGGATGATAACATTAAAATCACAGTTTCAAATAAAAAATCCAAGTGTTATTAAATTTTAAATTTATGTACATATTTATGAATTGAATAAATCATGAAATTAGTACCGTATTATCAGTTTCTTACTCTTAATCACTTAAATTTTAATAATCACGCGAATTTCCATAAGCGCCGACCGTCTTTAATATTATCTCATTAATGTCGTAGGTGCATTTTTTATTTTTAATCACGGAAAAACCGCAGAGAGAGAGAGAGAGAGAGAGAGAGGAGTGAGGAGGGAGAGGAGGCAGAAGGGGAAGGAAAAGGGAGAGATGGGGCGGGGGGGGGGGAAGGAAAGAGGGGACAGGAGGACCGATCCCATAGTTGAGATCATGGTGAGTTGGCATCGCTTATTTCAATTTGGTAATAATTAAGAACTATTAGTGTTCACGCTTTTATTACCGTACCTCAATGAAGTAAAAACGTTTCTTTATGGCAGGAATTTTGGAAAATAAAATCTTGGAAAAGGAATACGACCAATAAAAATCATATAAATTTAGCAGTTTGTTTAACATGCTAAACTTCAATGATTCTGATCGGTCATTTCATTTTTGCGAGATTTCGTTTTCTGAAATTCCGACAGTTCCGACATTGAGACACCCACTTAAAATTCTCGATTGACTAATTATTAGTATCTGTATTAGTCACTAATACATATGGCGGATTTCGATAAGCAATCAAAAGTTACGACCGACTATATGGTCAATAATACCGTTGGTACAAATACTGACAATATCATTGACTGCGTGCGGTAAATATTAATGAATCGAGGTATTGTATTAGGTGTTAAACTTAATTCCTGCCGCTCGCTACTAGAGCTGGCTCCAACGCTGGTTCCAACGCTGGCGAGTTTCGACGATGAAGTCGTATGTCTTTTGTAGTTTAGACATCGTTGAAAGTGATTCAATCCTCACAGGTTAGATTTCTCGACGCCAAAGAGATTTTCCAATCGACTGAAAATGAATCACGATAAGCTGTTTTTCCGACATGTGCTTCTTCACTACTTTGACCTCAAGAAAACCGCAGCTGAAGCGCATCGCTTTTTATCTGAAGTGTATGGTGATGAAACTCCATCGGAAAGAACATGTAGAGTTTGGTTTGAACGCTTCCGAAACGGTGATTTTGATGAGAGACAAAGAACGTCCAGGACAGCCGAAAAAATTTGAAGATGTCGAGCTGCAAGAATTGCTTGATGAGAATCCAGCTCAAACGCTTTTAGAGTTGTCGAAACAGTTAAATGTTACTCCAAAGGCCGATTGAGTGACGAATTGATGCAAAAAAGGTCATCCGTGGTCAACAATTGACACAAAGTCATTTTGTTGCATGATAACACTCGACCGCATGTCGCGAAAAGCGTGAAGCAGGCACTTCTAGAGTTTGAATGGGAAGTTCTCCCGCATCCAGCGTACTCTCCAGACTTGGCACCGTCGGATTACCATCTCTTCCGTTCGATGCAACACGCACTTACGGACACACACTTCTCCAGTTACAACGAAGTCCAAAAATGGGTGGATGAATGGATCGCCTCGAAAGACACCGTGTTCTACCGTCGTGGGATTGCCCTGGTGCCAGAGAGATGGGAAAAAGTAGTAAAAAATGAAGGAAATTACTTTGATTAAGATATTCATTCATCTTCCCTTCGAAACAAATCAATTTTGGAGACGAAGAAACGGCAGGAATTAAGTTTAACATCTAATAGAATAATGACGGTGTTCTGGATTTTAATTTTCGAGCATTAGTATCGCTTTATTAGGATCCATGTCACAGTATGTCACTGTGTAATAGAGAATTAAACGTAAAGCTTAAGTGAAATATATTGACCATGTAAGATTGTAAAATTGTTAAAAATATTGATGAATACTGCAAGTATTGCTGATGCAATATTACGATCAGTATTATATTGACAGTGTAGGGTTACCTTTACTATAAGAACTCTATACCGAGTTTCTATATCCTTATTGTTTATTACATATAAAACAAGTATAGGCCATGCTGACAGCGTGATCCTTGAATGCACCCAATAAAAATCTAAAATTTTAATACATTAAATAAATATTCGCTAAATGGTCATACGTACGTTAAAGAAACCGTCCTTTATTCTCGATATGTACGGAAATTTGTAAAGTTATATAAAATTGTTCATGGATGTATAATTGTCACATAAAGCGCAGTCCTATACAACTTTCAAACTTCCTATGCATAACGAGATTTAATTTTTAAAAATTAGCTTTTATTTTACGTGGGGGAGGGAGGGTGGGAAACCATTACATACACATATACGCGATTGTGGACGATTTCGCCCTTCTCGTATCCAACACTATATTTCGTCTACAACACTGTATTTCCTACTCGCTCTCCAGCACCACTCGACTTCCTTTGTTTCCTTAGTTGATCCACGGCTCCGTGTACGGAGCGAATTAGCCAATAACGCTATGTACGATTTTGCCTTGGCCGGTATATGTGACGCAAAGGTAAGGCAATTGTCCCAAAATGGCAATTGTCTTTGCCCCTTCAAAAACTGCATGCCTACGCTCGCAGCAAATTAATGTCACGAAGATCGTCCCCCCATATATGAAGAGGACCTCTGGATATGTGAGTCAAACCATGGTGGATGTATACAAGGTGAAGCATTCCGCTGGTTGTGCAGTAACAGCATGAATTTGGGACAAGATGTGATTGGTTGTTCCCGTATCCTATCGCTATTATACTCAGGTATGTGCATAAAGGCAAAAATTGTATTGATTGTTTCCAGTATAATTGCTGTCACCATTATGAGCAATGTTTCACCTTGTACATATCCACCAAACGATAAACTGTAGTAATTAAAAACACAAGGCTCAGCCGAAATTTGCGACACTTTTCAAAAATATTCAAACAAGCTAACACTCGAATTGAGATATGTTCGTCCCGGTCGAGTGAGAACAAACGATTGCAGCACCACCTGACATGTGAGGAATCGCAACGTGGGCAATTACAACGAAATTACAGCAAAATACAACTTGGTCATTTCTAACGGATGGTTATTTGCAACTTTATCATTTTCTACGTGGCCATTTGCAACTCGTGGTCAATCGCAACGTGGCCAAATACTACTTGGTTATTTGCAACGTGATCAATCACAACGCGTAGTCAAATGTAACGTGGTCAATTGCAACGTGACCAATTGTAACGTGGCCATTTACAATGTGGTCAAATGCAACGTCAATTTCAATTCGTCAATCGCAACGTAATTAATTGCGACATGGTCGATCGCAACATGGTCATTTATAACGCGTGTGCAATCGCATCGTGGTCAATTGCAACATGGTCATTTGCAACGTTACCAA